CAGAATTCTCACAGTGGGCTGGGCTTACTGATTAATCGTATCGACTCCATGGACACCCCCCCTTGCAGAGGCGTACCGAGGGTGTTATGCGCCCCAGAGGCAAAGGCACCCCCGCCACAACTGCCGCTGCACAGTAGGGCCCCGAACTTGGTGCACGGCTGAGCCCAACCCTAGGAGGAGGGGGCAGGGAGCTTGTACCGCATCTTCCCCTGCCCCTTCCAGTTTGGGGCCAGGCCCCCGCACGCACCAATCCGCCAGCGAAGATGGAAAAGGGTCAGGTTGGGAGGCAAGGAGGAGGCTCCAGCTGCCGGCAGCAGGCGAGGAGGAGCAGGCGAGCCAAGGGATGATAGGAGGAACAGAGGAGGACTAAATTGGTGCCCCTCTAGCGTGGCGCCTGGGGGGAACTACCCACTTGTCTCCCCTCGCTATGCCACTGCCCCCTTGCTGTATCAGAGGCACCAAGTGGGAGGGGGAGCTGGGAGCAAGTGCTGTGGGCAGCTGGATCTCCAGGAGCACAAGCTCCACAGAGCTGCCTCCCCTCCCCCCTTCACGCGGCTGCCTCTGATAGAGAGGCAGCAGCACGGAGAGGGGAGCAGGTGGGAGCTGGTGCATGCAGGAATCTGGCTTTCAAGCTAGCTCCCCATGCATATTGGCTCATGTAAGCCACTTGTCTCCCCCTCCACGCTGCTGCCTCTCTGTTAGTGCTGGCAGGGGGGAAAAGACGGGAGCCAATACATGTGGGGAGCTGGCTTTTAAGCTGGCTCTCCTTGCGTGCTGGCTCCGCGGAGCCGCCTGCTCCCTCCCTCCTTTGCTCCCTCCCACAGAGGCAGCGAGAGGGGACAGGCAGGGGGCTAGTGCTTGAGGGAGCTGCTTCCCTCCAGCCCCCATGCTGCTGCCTCTATCAGGGCAGGGGGTGGGGCAGGGGAGGTTGCCACAGAGCAGCCCATGTCCACAGCGGGCCCATCGCTATCTAACATCCCTAGTTGCTGACAGCAAGCAGCCTCTTGCTCAGACAGTTTCCTCGTTCTGTTTAGGTCTTTCTGTAGTCTAGGTATCCCGCGAGAATGCTTCTGCCCAGCCAAACAGGGGACTGGACTATGGCTTCTGCGGGGCCTGCAGGCCTTGAGCTCTGTCTTTGTTCACTAGGGATAGAATGCTTCTGCCCAGCCAAACAGGGGACTGGACTATGGCTTCTGCGGGGCCTGCAGGCCTTGAGCTTTGTCTTCGTTGACTAGGGATAACGGTTCAACATGCTGTCGTGGCCCGGAAGCTACGGAGGATGCCTAGGGACCCAATGCACCACGGTTTAGTAGCAGGGTCCTGAAAGCTAGAGACTACGCTGAAAATAAGTGAAAGGAATTTAGGAAAGAGGCAACTTATTCATGTCATCAGAAAAGCCGCTTTGGGAAATGCTGCACAAAAATCCTAGTCCAGTTCCATTATGTTTTATTTTATAGGAGCCA